AAAAAAAAAAAGAGGGGTGAGCAATAATTCTAAAATTATTTTCACAGCAAATAAAAACAAGATTAAAAATTAAAATGGGTGAGATATAGCTTATTTGCACCATTTTTCACATTTTACACTATGGACCATATAGACTACGCTAATGTGCATAATTTAAACCCTAAACGTTATTAATTTATACATGCAACCGGTTATGTAATACGAATTTTCTGATAGTTTAACATATATTAGTAATTATAACCCTTCTTAAATTTTTATAGACAACTTCGAAAATAATAATCTTTGATGAAATCTGCAAAAGTTGAAATTATTACATCAAGGTTTGAATGAACGAGATACTCATAAAAATCTTATGCTCGTTAGAATACAAAACATAAAGCGAGCAAAATTATATGAAGTATGAGTCCTCACAATCATCCCATTGCAGATAACGATACCATAGAAAACGATCCAAAAATAATCTAAAATTTGACGTCTTAAAATGAATATTGCTTATTCTCCAAATGTATGTCAAAAAATAAATTGCTCTTTCCACACTCTTTCCTAGGATCCTTCAAGGGTAATTCTTGGGTTACAATAACAGTGATACACAGACCACCGCACAACATTTTTCATGTTCACGACACTGACTCACATGTTTTTTCCGGATTCACAGTTTCATTCCCACTCACCTTTATCCCATGCATCTCTCTCACACAGATGAAGACTCAATACTAAGTCTACTCTTGTANGTCTACTCTTGTACAAGCCTAGATCATCTGTCAATAAATCTGAGAAATTCCAATCCCAAGTGATACTAGTAATAATTAAACACACTTCGGAAGTGTGTCACCTCTCAACAGTGTGTCATCGAACCTCCATTTGTCTCTACACGTGCACAAAACTGATCACAGTTAACATTAACTTCAGTATATCCTCAACAAAATTTAAGGTAGTTTTGTGTAGAAGTCTCCCTAAATAGTAGGATAAATCAAATAGTGATTACCCTCGTTGTATCCCTGAGGAAGAGGTAGTAGGTAATCAACTAATCTTATGACCCTTTAACTAGCAAAACTTCCAATTATAAGTTAAACATGTGGTACTTCAGTAGTCCATGTTTCGTTGTTGTCAAGTCTGGAAGTTGGTAAAGGAGTAGGAGATGGGGAAGAGAGGGAGAGGGAGAACCCACAAGTACAAACTGGTCGACTAAACTTCATTTTGTAAAATCATATCTTTACTGCAGTACATGCACAAACATATCTCCAAAATGGACATTGTTGAACAAGTTCAAACCAGTCCACTAAACCTCATTTTGATTTTGGGCTTCCTTTGCAAATGTTTCTCCATTTATCTTTGAGTTCTATTGTGGTACGACCTTTCTGGAAAACTTCAGGTCCAAATTCCAAAATCTGCTTCCACGGAATATTTCCATCATGCGCACTATAAAATTTACGTACCCCATCCTGTTGAATAAAAAAATAGATTGATTGTGTCTCGTGCAAATGACTTGAGATAAGAATTGGTGAAACATAACCTTACAATATGAAAAGGGTGAAAATAAGGCACGGCAACTATGATTCTCAAACTAAAACTATATTGGAGACAGAATTTTTATTTGAAACATTACCATGACCAAGACAAAATTAGCCCAGAGAGTTTTAAGATTCAACTATGGTGCTAGAATCTTAAACCTGCTTCAGGCTGAGAATGTAATTGCTTTTTGCATTACATGTGAGCATGGTTTCATAATCTCGCTCCCAATATCTATCATCGGCTTCCAAATTCCAACCAAAGTAGAAGAAAAGCATTTTATCATACAGCCTCAAGAACTCGAAACTTGACACACAGCAGGATCTAAAAATAGCACTAAGGCATGGTATAAGAGCCTCAAAATTGGAGATGAAACCCGAGTCATATCTTAAAAATAAGATTTCAATATTCAAATCTTGAATTTGGATTAAAAAGTGAATGAATACGGGCGTGAAATGAATGTACAAATAGATTTATGAACTTAACCATATTTACAAATAGATTTATGTAACAACCATATTTTTAAGTGAGACGGATTTATATTTCCATCAGTTAGTCCTAATCAGAATTACAGATTCGATCAATTTTGAAAGAATTTAAGAATCCCATAATTTAAGTGAGATGGATTTTATAATTCCAAAATAGAGTTTGATTTCATTTTAGCAAATAGATTTTCATCTTCCCTGTCTTTTGTTATACCAAACAGGCTGTAAGTTCGCAGGAAGCTATGAATCACTTCTTTATTTTAGTCATGCGTTTGATTGTTTCAGCACAATGACTTCCAATATAAAATCAGCAAATTGAAAAGAAAAAGGGAATCCGTAAGAACACAAGTTACGTATCATAAGCAGAAAAATTTCGACCTTCAATATCTCTTATTCTACTCTTGTCCATGGTATTTTCTTCCGCCTCAATAGAGGAATAGCTGGATATGAACCGCAGAATAAGATAAAGATCATCCTAAATATTTCAAATTGTTCACACTGGAAATATATTCAATCAAAGAACATTCCAAAAGCTAACTAAGTAATTTAGGCTGAGATAACCAAAAATGAACTTCCCTTTTATATTTTATTTATGAAATGCATTTTTAGCCTAAAGGAACTCATAGTTAATTCAATTTACTGAAAAATGAATAAATTGTGAACACATACGAAAATACTCATCCATAATAGATATGGGGGAAATGTTCATAATGAGAAGCCAAGTGTGATTGTTCATGAAAATAATTAAATCTCAATTAAAAAAAAAAAAATTATAAGTCAATAAATAGTAATAATCAATAGTGACATTATTCTAACCTAAACAATAAAAAATAACCCAAATTTGTAGAAGTTAGCATGGTATTTGTAAATGCAGAAGTTTGGAACATCTAGTAGCAAGTATCATGTACTTGAGACAATTTATTGAAACAAATAACCATCAACACGCACTATCTTCAGGAACAAAAGAACTTACTGTTGCCTTTCCTGCTTTGGGATGCTTATGAAGTACTTGGAAGCACCAGAGCTGTCATTTTCTTCTTCAGAAACTTGTTCTCCATTACTATTTGGAAAGCATGTCGATTTACAAACTAACTCTGTTTCTGGTTGACCTGAGACTTTCTTAAATCTGACTTCAGCATGTTCATTTCCATTGCTTCTCTCTGGGACCCTGGCAGAGAGAATACCACCTCCAGATTCACAATCTGCCTCAGCATCAAACTGTTGTTTTCCATGATCTCCTGGAGATTGGCACTCTTGCCGCATCCTTTTCCCCTCTTGATTTTCTTTCGTTGGAATGCGTGGTTTTTCATTGTCTACATATGCTATTTTTTCTCCGAAGGGGGATTGTCACCAGCACATGATACTGAAGGCTCTGCTACACTGACAGCTATAAGATCTTCCCTACACTGAGTGTTGTTGGTCCGTTTAGAAATATTTATGTTGTTCACTTTACTATTTTCATGCAAATGTTCATCTGGTTCTGGTAGATATTTCGTTTTCCTACGTGATCTAAGGGACACTTCCTCTCTTCGTTTTTTAGTTCCAATTCTAAAAAAGGTTGCCAGGTTCTTTCTTGCCACAGAAGCCTTGTTCTTAACTTTATTGTACTCTGAGATTGCTATATGGTATGCACACAAAGGGCAGTAAAATTTACCCCCCGCATCAAAGATTGTCGCAGAACCCAAGCAGCCCTCATGAAACGTCGTGAGGCAACTGTTAGAACTACAGACCAATAAAGTTCCACCCTTTCTGCAATTCGTGCAAAGATCAATTTTTGCCAAGGAATCTTGACTGTATGTGCACTGAGAGCTTAAGAAAGCATGCTTCTTCATGGAAATATCAGTCTTCTCATCATTATACCACACGCTATCACAAGATGTCAAGACATACCAGCATCTTGATTATGGTCAATTTCATCTTCAGCTTCACCCACATTAGAGGCTTTCCGTTGAGAACTATGCTCAAATCCATCCAGGTCTTCATCATCACAAACCTCTGGTTGAATCCCACCCTATCAAATGCCTATATCTGCCCTGACCTCGCAAAGACCTTCCTTATCAACTTTTGCTTCATCAAGATGATAGTCTCGACCTTGTACGTTGTCAGATTTGTCCTTTGGCACTCAGAATCACCATGAGGAACCTGCCTTTGGCAAGGCAAAACATCATGATGTCCAACAAGCCCCTTCAGTGAAGGATGCTCATTCTTGCAGTCTCCAGGAGGACACTTTTTCTTGCATGTGAAGATACTAAATTCATACCCCCATCCTGTTCACTATAGATGATATCATGCTTAAACTTCTTGGCTGCTTTGGCATGAGTTTCATCGTGATTGATGAGTTTCATCGTCATCGTGATTGATGGGTAGTGTGGCAACAATTTAATGAATTCTATTATTTATATTTGAAAATTTCGTATTTGAACGCTATTAATGTACTTTGTTATGTCAGTATTTCAAAAACTCGAGATTTGAAATTTAATCAATTTTCTTAAGTTATTAAAATGAGTTTTGTTGTCGACGAGATTTTTACCG